CCAGTACAATACCCCTGTCTTCTGCCCTATCCTCCCTTTCGGGTATGTACATACCTTACTCCCTAGCTCTGCGCTGGACTCGTGCTTGTCAGAGACCCTCTCAATAGAAGTTCCCCAACTGATCCCCCATGAAAAATCTGTTGTTTTGTTCAACTGTTCTTCGCTCGCGTGGCGTAGAACGGGCCATTCGAGATCAGACTGCTTGGTCAGAACTCTTTCTACCGACTTTATAGTAATGGATTGTCCTTATTGGGATTAGGAACAGGCCAGGTGAGATTATTGGACGGAGCCAAGATGCCGTAAGGCGCAAATGTGCAAAAATATGCCCCACGTTGCTCTGGTGTGGGTGTCAGGGGTATGCCGCGGCGCCAGCGCGCTTCTGTATCCAACGACGACGACAACAGCACTTCAAAATGGCTCTTCACTGTGGGATCGATGCCATTCTCAAAAGGTGACCTTTTTATATCACATTCGACACGTACTTTTCGAATTCTCCTATTCTCTTTCGCAGCACTGGGCTTGAATTGGCTGCAGAGTGTTGCTGATCCCTGTTAAGAAACGAGTGACTGGTACTCTCCCGCAAAACCGTCTGTGTCGGTAGAACTCGTGAACTATGAGTGTTCAAGGCCCTTTTAGAAGGAAATGTAGTGATTGAACTGATTCTTCAATCACAGAACGATACGCCATGTTAATGAAATCGCTCAACGACCAGCAATATCGAATGTTGACTATCGGACATGTCGTCGTCAAGCGAAAGTGCAGTTGGATATCATGCATGTCGTTAAAAAAATCTGGGGTGCATATGACGGTGTCCTGGTAGTACGCGTGTAACGCTTGAGCCGCGCGCTCGGGAGCTGGTTTCCGGTAGCCTATATCAAGGGGGCCTAGAGTTCTTTGGTGGCCCTTGCTGGTTTTTCATACGGCCAATAGAACCGTTCGCTGGAAGCAGATGGGTCATGGGTGGTCACGACCTACCGTACCTACTACGGTATCACTTGGTCTGACGGGAAACTGCTCGAGCTAACGGGCGAAGTGGCAATGACCGTAATGTAACCGACACCGCTAACACATGCAACGCGACATCGCGTGCCGATAGACATGTTCTACTGGTTCTGGTTGAAGCCAACACGGCATTGGAATACAGTATTTCGCTAGAGAATGGGACCATCTCGCACTGAAGCTTGGGCATCTCGATGCTACTTAGTTCTACCATAGATTATCTACCTACTTACTTACTTAATCGCCCATAAAGGGAAAGACGCTTCTGTTGGGATGGTGTTCCCCGCTTCACAGATTTGCCCCAGTCGAGATACCTGTAGGAAGCTTATTCGGCATAGCTTGCTTGCTGCATTTGGAGAGGGGCTTGCCAAACCGGTTCCGTAGCCATCAGCAGATCAAACTTTGGATCCTCTTCAAATCAAGTCCATGGGTTTGTGGATATCCGAATTACTCACTGCTTCCCCTCGTCTTGGTGCCCTCATCAAGGACATAAACAGCATTCGACCTGTAAATGCAATCGGTTTTATCTCAACGATGAGACCTGCAATGATTATTACATGCCCGAGAGAATCGGCAGATGGTTGGCCTCCACAACCTCTATTCACTGTCGCCGGGAAATTTGCTCGGCTTTGTTGGTGATGCAACCTGCGGGTGGTTTTCGGACGCTTGTAGTAACCGATAATACCTCATTTGGCCCCAGTGCTTGTCTACACTATGAAAGCAGTCTCCCTGCCCGTGGTCTTAGGTGAATCGGCAAGTTTATTCTTACCGCAGCAGAGAATACTTCGCTGGGACTCGACATGCTGCCCCTTTAGGCTGGTGGTACGGCAAGTAGCGAAAGGAGCATCGTCATACCGTTTTATACCTTTGGCTTCGCCCAAGCACTAGAGAATTCCGCCACTTTTCGAACGGACACTCGGCACATTGGCAACGATAGGCTCATATCTATCCACTGCCGATGTAGATATCGAGCGGGACGAGATGGAATCGCGACCAATCATCACAACTACCCACCTACATGGCATGCCAATCATCGCTAGGTTTCATACTTAGCATCCATGGACATATTTTGAAAGCGCAGTGGCTGTTGCGTAGCCATGCACGCTAGACAACCCTTCTATACACATCCACCCTTGCGGGGATCACTGCAAACAATATTACATCGAGAAGGCTTAGCCAGTGCTAGCCTACATGAAGGTCAGATATAGTACACACGTCGCACTTCGCGAAGTCTGCCTGATTCTGGCCTAAATTACAATTTCTTATCTTCTCCCCCATTGAATTATCATACTGATGTGGCTCTGCACACTTCTTTCCGTCTTGAATCACTGTCTAAGAGCTTTACATCTAGCCACAGCATCATCAACCCCTGGCTCTATAGCCATCCACGGTTAGCTCGTCACGCCACCACGAGCTGGAGCGTATATCTCTTCTTCGCACTCCATCCTAAAAAGTGTCTGTTGGTTCTTGACGCAAGTCTGTGCATAATGAGGCCGCAGCCAGCGGCCAGTTCCATCGACCACCTCCTATTTGGCCCCCTCGAACACCATAGTAACACCGCAAATTTCCTCTCTTGGATAAGAATATTCTTGGGGTTTTCGGCTCAAGGGCCAATCCCAGAGTATAGTTTTCCACAACATCTGTTCACCGCAATATCTAGTTTCGAACTGACCCCACGATGCCGAGGCTCTTTTACTAAGAACCAATGACCATACACCCACCGAACACCTACTGCGCTCTGAGCCTCATTCAAAGGCTGGGATGGGTATCAGAGAGCGTCGCTTGCCTCGTCAAGGTCGTCGTTTCGATCTATCTCTGGGACCCGCTGTCTGTCTGCCTAGCTTTCGTCTGTGTATATGAACGGCCCCATGGCTGCGTCTAGGGACAGAACCATGGCTGTTCCATTCCGATACGTTAACTACGACAAAACATACTCTCCTTATAAATCTTGTCGATACAACGATCATATGTTGCCAACATGGCGAGCCTTCCCAATAGCATTTATGCGGTTGTTGATCGTCGTAGGGGAGCGGTACCGGCCACAGAGGAACGTCCAGAGAGGTTTCTATTCTACGATAATCATGAGCGAAGTAAGTTTACTTTTCCTAGAACGAACTATTCTTGGACCTGTGTTGCACACTGACTGATGTTAAATAGGGGCTATAACGCCTAAGGGCTTTCCGTCGATGGCCTCGATGCAAGCACAGTGGTCTAATTCCGGGACCTTTCGAATCTTCGAACAAATTCACTGGCAGATGATCACCTACTACCAGACAAAACTAAGCCAATTGGAATATCAAATACACGAGCTAGACTCCCAAGAAGATGAGAAGCTGAAAGGGTCACAAAGATCGAAACTTCCCTTCGACAAGAGACAATTCATGGACTGCTACATTGAAGAATCTCGCTCTCTACGCATATCCGAGCCATTGGAAACAGCCGTAGACACGGTACAAGACGAAATCAATGATACACGAGAAAAGCTTTATGCAGAGTGGGAACAAGTGGCAAAGAATTATCGTATGACCCATGAGATCGTTACGAAACGTATTCAGCGAATTAATACTTGACGACTAGGTGAAAATGTCTACTGGGTTCAACAAATAAGCCGAGTCCCTCGTGTTAACAGAGAAGTACAACGACAACTGCTTACGGCCGCCCAAGAACAACATGGGCTTAGTGGCGAAGCTCTTGACAGCCAGAGGGCCATTGATGACATAGGCTGCATCAACTCCGATCCCATTGTTGCAAAAATCGAGAGCATTTGGCTATCCGCAGCACCATGGATCAGGGTTAGTTCTCCATTGCTATCCTAATCTCTATTCTTCCAAGAAGAACAATACTTTCCAAGTGGAACATTTCCAACCATAATTGCCTACATAAATTATACCGGACACTTTTTTTTTTTTTTGCAGTTCAATAGAGTCTTGTCTAGCTCTGCTGCTTTCAGCTCGAAGACCATGTCACTAATAAAGAACTAACACATGAATCCAACAGAAATTGTTGCGATATCTCTTTATGAGGAATAGTCACCCCGAGCACGGCCACACCCAGACATATCACACATTGGAGGTTCATGGGTTCGGGTTTCCCCATAGAGCACTAATAACTCTGCTGAGCTCATCGCTGGTTTTGGTGCCCATTGGCATCCTATATCTCGGAGATCTCACCAAGCCGCTCTGTTACACGGTGGTTGTGGTGTCCGGCATAGTTTTCGCTATTGTCTTGATTATCATCGAGCAACGAATTGGTTACACACTTGTTGGCGTGGTTGCATACGTTGCTGTACTTGCCACGCTTCTGGACACACTGTCGCAGGCGTGATATGTGGTATTGAAGGTTCGTTTAGGGCAGAGTGACGGTTGCGGAGTTGTGGGACCAAGGGAAAGTTCTCTTGTTTCGCTCTTTTGGCCAGTTATTTCTTTATGTACAGAGACATATAGCATTTAGACCGACATTTTAGTGAGCACTTATTTCGTACATAATGATTCACATCTCTAGCTTGTTTAATTGTTGAACCCTCGAAAGAACTGGATGCTGAGTATTGATAATTTGGGTCAGTTTGATCCGATGCAATTGAGCAATTACCTACCTATTTACGAACTGAGCGAGCATAGGTAGTACTTAGCAATTAAGGTTAGGTCATTCGTAACTGGGGCCATGTGTTATGCGCAAATTGCAGACAACATTTTGCTAACCAATGATCAATATCCACATAGGACAGAACAAAAAACCCGCTTGGTCTACTCTAAGGTACTTAAGTAGGCAATCAGCATTGATACGTTGCTTTCTACTCCTGATTTATCGGATAGGTATTACCTCGTAGGTGGGTTTTACCGCCATGTTAGGTCGCGCATCGGTACCTGAGCAAAGCCGCTTTTAGCCTGAGCTAGGCCGAATCTGGACTGAGAACTCAAGAAAGAAAAATGCACACAACCTTAGTGAACAGGGGACAAAACTAGGCGGACACTGAAATCGAAACCTGAAAAAATAAATGGTTATGACAAGAATGGGATTCGAACCCATGAGGATTGCTCCAGTAGTGTACACCTATGCCTATTGCTAGGAAGATTTTAATCTTGAAACTACCGCCTTAGACCGCTCGGCCATCTTGCCGTTGGTTGTAGCTTGGGTTCTTTGGCGGGCTGAAGCAGCATTAGTTTAAGTATGTGTTGAAGCGCTCGAAACTAAAATTGGTTCACTGAGGTCCTAGCCTAGGTGTGGGTAGCTAGCTTGTTTTAGTGCACAAAGCTCCCGCTGCCTAGGGTGCCTAGGGTGGGTTTTTGGCTCGCTGTCACTACCTCCTACAGCTATCACTTCTACATTTCACATATTTCTTGACCGACGTTTTGTTTTTGCCCACTTCGCCCATCCTTCGATTGGTCCAGGTCGACACATCGGTGAAAGGAGATGCCCTGTCTCTGATCTGTGATTTTTCGCCTGCTAGTCGATACTGCGCGCCAGACAACCACAACTTCTCGACACCTTGCTACAGTAACCCCCGACCAAGCTAAACCAAGCTACACCAGAGGCTGAGCTTCTACCGCGTCTTCGTCTTCGCATCAGCGACAGCACACGACGATGCTGTCGATATGGTTCCGAATGCTACCATGGCCACAACACAGTCACTAGAAGCAGCAGAGACTGTGCCGATCGCCGAGCTATACCCAGACATTGCCAACCCAGACACAAAGGCTGTTGGCGGTGTTGTCACCATCACTTGGCCCTACAACAAAGTCAAAGGCAGCTTTGCCTTCACCCTCGCCGAGCCCGACTTCCGCCTCCGCCGCAATAAAGGCCAGGTCCGGGTCGACTTCACCGGTAGAGCCGCGAAGACTGCCGGGGATTGTGGGCTGGGCAGCAACGATGAGGTTCTGCTCAGTCTGGCCGGCGCGGCCTGGGAGGCGGAGGCCGCAGCAGATAGACGACGAAGTCTACCCGGTGCGGATCTGGGCTGGAGGCTGGTCTTTTCGGACAAATTGATACTCAGGATTAAGCGAGCAGAAACCAACGCCGTCGATCTTGTCATCGTTGACCAGCAACCGAATGAAGAAGAGACAGCCCCTGATCCCTCGAGCTTCGAAACACGCGCCGCCACCAAATCGCCTTCCCCCCCTGCTGTCCTTTCCCCTATACGCATCACGTCACCGGTGCGGACTATACCTACAAAAGGACTCGATGACGGCGAATTTGCGTCACCGGCGTTTGTCAAGAGGGCTAGGATGTCATACGGCTCATTGTTTGAAGGTGGCTTCGATATCTTCGAGGACGATGGCGGTATAATTGGGAAGGGACGCAAACGAACGAGGTTCGGGCGAGATAGTAGTTCTTGGAGATATTCCTACGTCAGCCGCTCTCCGACTCCTGAGCCTGCTACTTCATCGCCCAAGAGCGCCGGCGCACAGACCGATTCTCCAATTAGGGCCATCCATTCTCCAGTAAGGGTCGAGATGGCCGATGAAGGATGCCAAACTACGGACCTGGATCAGCCCTTCCCGCAGCCTACAAGCAGTCCTCTGGCGACGCAGACGGATGCGATGATGCCAGGAGACCTGATTGTTAATGATGCATCTATCGACGCGCCTACAGAACACGCAGTTGGACCAAGACCGCAAACATTACTCTTGAACAGTTGGCCTTCAGAATCGGCGGTGGAATCCATTGTCCAGGACGCCTCTGTTCCTATACATGGCGAGGCTATCCCCGCCGACTTCGGTACTCCTTCATTTGGCTCGGCCCAGCATCTTAACACTTCAGAATATAGTCTTCCTTGTAATCCATGGACTGTGGGCGTATCACAACCCGCCTATGAATCTCAGCAGGAGATCTCGTCTCCACATTCGCACGAGGGCGAACCTTTCGATTCTTCGGGCTTTGGGGCTGTCACGTCTGGCATTCAGCTAAATCCGTTCCACGAATCCGATGGATTGATGCAATTTGCCCCGGGAGATATTAGCATCCAAGAGCCCATGGATGATAGTGTAGCTCATGCGGCCAACCCGGATTCTGAAGTGTTCAACTATCCACCTCTCGAGCCTCCCGAAGACATCGATCACCAACAACTCCGTAACGAGGCCTTGACCGACTATCCAATGAGCTATTTGGAAGATAGAGAGCGGGCTCAGCCTAATGAAACATCGAACGAGCTAGGACCTCAAGCCTTGGCAGTAGGCACGGTAGGATCCAGTGGTTGGTCTACGATCAATAACTTCAAGGCATTCTCGGTAACCCCGCAGGCTCATCTTGACAGCAACGATGGGGGCTCCCCAGAACGAGCTGTTGTAATTGATGAAAGCGATTCGGATTCCGGTTCTGGACTTGAACCGATAGCAGCGGAAGACGCTGTAAACAACGGCCGTGCTTACGCCCTGGACAAGTTCGAAGATGCAGAAGCTGAAGACGAGGTTGATGCGCAATATTCAGACGATGATGAGCCGGAGTATGATGAATCAGAGATTGGCGGCGACTACGATACAAGAAACTATGAGCAGCCAGGTGACGATGAAGACGACAGTCATGATGAGGACCTCAACACACACCCATTAGACCCGGAGTTCGATGACGGCGAGAGCTGGGATGAAGAGGAGCAAGAAGGGTCCGGCGAGGAAGATGAAGAACAAGAGTACGAGCTGGATGAGGAAGGACCCAAACTCGAGCCTCAACACGCGGTACGATCGATCCCCACAGTAATTGATTTGATCTCATCTTCCGAAGGCGAGAGCGAGGACGAAGGAGACGAGCACAATGATACAGCCACAGAAATCCAGCTATCGGATGCTCACATGAATCCCAGGATCCCTCTAGCTAATCAAAAAATCTTGCTGGAGGGTAACCTTCAGCAGGTTCCGTGGAATGAGGAAGCATCAGAAACCCATTCGCAAGCTCCTGTGTCTGAGGCCGATAATTCTTCCGAAATAAGTACAGAGCGTCGTGAAGACATGGTGTCCCTTGGAGAAGAAGAGAATGAAGAAGAAGATGAAGAAGAAGACGAGGAGGAAGAAGAAGAAGATCAAGTCCAACTTCGGATTTATGATAACGACGAAGGTGGGGAGGAAGGCGAAACTGAAGATGAGAATGGCTTCGGACATGAAGTAGAGTCGAAAACCGTCATACGAGAGGAGATACGTATTGTCGAACCTCTAGGGGCACAAGCAGATCATCACACAGAATCAGAAATATTATCGAAAGAAGCAATCAACCTCGAGGGCGACCCGGCGTTCGAGAGCGCACACGATCACAAGAGCTTTTTTCCCAGCCAGACAAAATCCTCAGCGGAGCTACACGAAAGCACCGATAGCGAAACTGGACAGGGAATTGCCAGAGAGAGTTTAGCCACCGAGCCCCTTTCGGCTGCTGATGGTCTCGAAATTCTCAGCCGTGCGGTTGATAGAGAATCAAATGCCCACGACTACAGCGCGCCTGCTGATCTAGTTACGGGTAAGGTTATCACGCAAACGGTGTACAAGGAGCAGTTGCTGGTCGAGCCACCTGAAGACGACAGTGACGAAGTACACATTGCCCAACAAACCATAGCTTCTGAAGTCGAACCAGACGATGTTTCACTGCGTAATGGCGGAAAAAACCAACTTGACCAAGCAATTTCACCAAAACCCGTTACCGAACAGTGGCCATTCATCGACAAATACCGAAGCTCTGAAATAGCTGCACCGTCCTCGCCTCCGTCGACTCAGTCATTCCAATCACATGGTGCCGGCGACGATGCTAATAGGCACGGTGAAGTGACGAGAGCGAAAGTAGAAGTGTCCACGGTGCAGCTTCCGACGCCCATGAATACACAGGTTACCACAGATATGAACGTGGTGGCGTCGTTCAAGTCACACATAACTATCGAGCAGCAAGACCCTGACGGCAGTGAGGACCTGATTGTGGAAGAGGCAGCTGAGAGCTCTGTCTGGCAAGATGGCAACGTAGATTTTGGAAAAGATGGCGCGATAGAACAACGTCAGATCAGTCTGATAGGATCACAGCCGCCGTCTGGTGAATTACCGGTTTCATCGCCAGCCCCTAGCTTCCAGTCACAAGTTGATCTAGTGGAACTTCTTTCTCCCAGCAGTGTTGGCCAAATTAAAGACGACGCCCGAGTCTCTCAGAGCCCTTCCCCAGAGCATGATTCAAATGCATCGAACTCTGACGAGTCGTTTGCATCGCATATGGAGACTGACGAGGAACTTCAGGCTAGCATCCTGGATAACACCCAACAGGAAGAGCACTTTGGCCATGGCGTTGAAGACTATGCGAAGGAGCCGGCTCGAAAGACTCCGACTCCCACAACTGGACCATACACGGAGTCAGAATCTGTAGGTCAAAGGGAGACACTAATATCCCCGATGAGAGAGCACACTCCCTCAAAACAGCATATAGACGAGGCGACGCCATCCTCACTGCACGACGAGCAGCTAACGGAAGAGGCTGAACCGTCTTCGCTACACGATTACACCCCGGCGAAACAGCTCGCCGATGATATCTCTGCACAAATAAGACGAAACTTTACTACGAGGGATAGCCCGGGAGAAGATTCAGATGCCTCTATACGCAACGATCCTAGCGTGTATCTAGCGCGGGCCGCTAATGCTTCCAAGAAAGAGGCGAGGAAACCATCCGCATCCTCTCAGCTCTACGGCCCACGCCGAAAGACGCTAGATGCCCGCCGCAGTCCAACTCCTGAGACGGATGATGCAAGTATACAATTCGCGAGAGCTTCTAATGCGAGCCAATCATCCAAGCCCGAAGAAGACAGCTATTCCATGACAGCGGCCAAATTACAGATTGCCCGCCATCTCCGCGATGAGCTTCCGGATTGCATACCTCTACAGATGTTGCGTCAGCATCTCACAAAATCACTTGGTGTGATCGCGGTTGCAGCTATGCAGCCTCCAGATCCACAACGAGCCAAAGGCGGTCCGAGAGAGTACATGATGTCGTTCACGATTACTGATTCTTCCATTGGGCCTTATGACGCCGTTGAAGCGCTGCTCTATCGCCCACACAAGGATACACTTCCAATAGTGAAATATGGTGACATTGTACTTCTTCGGAATTTTACTGTAGTGTCCCTGCCGGAAAAAGGCTTCGGATTGCGGAGCAACGATCAGTCT